GTTAAGTTTGCTTTGATGTTCTAACCAATGAGTGGAAGATACGTATATTAATGGTGTGCGGGTGTTTTTATTTTTACTGAGAATTAGATTCAAGATAATGAAAATATTGTCTTTAACATCAGAAAAATATCAATATTCAAATACTTGAAAAAATGCCCCAAAACTGCACTTAAAAAGGAATATTTGCTTATGCTTTCAAGTAAAAGTAACTTTCTATTTATAACTATTATTTTGTGAGTATATACGGGAATTTGCATAGCCTCAGCTCTCACTGCACGCCTTGGCTTGCAGACTACAGACAAATGGCTCAGGAACATCGATATTCCTTCCACATAAACCATTTCCATAAAAAGGACCCAGAAATATATTTTTAAAATTTTAAATCAGAGAGAGGAATCGAACTTTTTTTGCCTCTAAGAGCCTGTCTTTTTTAACAGACCACGATAAACAAAAACTTAGACGAGGCACAAACAACGTTTTTCGATCTTTTGTTTTTTGAAATTAGAAATCAGGAGGGCAAAACAGAAATCTTCCCAGGATGCTGAAGAGGGGCCCAGTGCAGAGAGTTGTTAGGGGAAAGCGTAAGAGTCCTGAGACCTCAGAGAGGTAAAGAAGTGGAGCTGCGCTTGACCGGGCTGGAAAGAAACACTTTAAAACGGGATCTGTCAGGAAACAGCTGCTCAGGAAACAGTCGGTTAAATCGACCGACCCCTAAAAGCGAAATGTGTCCTCAGAGGAGTCGGCTTTTGACTCCAACACGCGAGTGTGAGTAGTAGGGTGAAATACCCAGAACCGGCTAGAAGCTTGAAGACCCAGGTTCAGCCTGGCTGGAGGTCAGGAAGCTCCTAAAAAGGGGTGCAGGAGTCCCAGACGCGGCAGAGAACCCTCACTGGGGGCAGGCACGTGAAGTAAAGACCTGGTGATGCGGATCGTGGAGCTGCAAGGGCCTCAAGAAGGAAGGGATGCAGGACCAGGATGCTGGGGTGGGGTGCAGGCCCTACAGGCCATAGAGCGCTTACTGCAGGGAAGAGACGAGGGGTCAACAGCGTAGGGCCGAGCTGCTGGGTTGCCTCCGACCCACAGCGAAGCTGGAGTGTCGGCTTCGCGGTGTGAATACACACTGACTTGGATTGCAGCGCACTTGTCAGTTTCCTCTTGGCCCCGCCTCCGAGAAGTCTATCCAGCTCCCCAGTGTTTAACTAAGTCGTGACACCAACGCAAAATCCACGCTTAATTAAATTAATTAGGGATTCTTGTCAATCCTGGATTAATGGCCAAGAGCACAGGCGGCCTTGGCTATCTGAAAACCGGACCGCTGGGGACCGGCCTCCTCTCCCCGCCCCCTTCTGGTCCCCAGCTCTGCCCTCTCACTCCAGCACGCTGGACTCCAGCCTCAATCCTCCTTTCTCTCTCTCTCTCTCTCTCTCTCTCTCTCTCTCTCTCTCTTTCTCTCTCTCTCTCTCTCTCTCTCTCTCTCTCTCTCTCTCCTCCCCACCCCTGGTAGGGGCGCGCCTGCTCCCCGCGAAGGGGCTCCCTCGGAGTTGCAAGGGGAGGTAATTTACTCCGAACAAGGGGCCGCCTTTAGGAAGTATAAATAGTGAGACTTCAAGAGCAGCGTCGCTATCAGATCTGAACTCTCCGCAGGAAGAATTGTCAAAGATCTCAACATTGAACACGCGCGCTCGGGCCGGGAAGCATCAGTTCCCATTTCCCTCCGGCGGCCCCCGCCCCTTCCCTCTTCCTCCTCCCCCTCCTCCTCGTCCTCCTCCTCTTCTTACTTCTTTTTCTCCTTCTACTTCTCCTCTTTCTTCTTTCTTCTCCTCTTTTTTTTTCTTCTTCTTCCTCCTCCTCCCTCTCCTCCCCCACCCCCTGCCCCATTGATGTGTTATTATTGGGGGGGCTGGAGCAGTAAAAAAAGAAGAAGGAAAAAAGAGCGGGGCTCGGCAGGGAGAGGTTGAGCGCGAGGCTGAACCGCGGCTGCAGCGATGGAAGAACTTACTGCGTTCGTCTCCAAGTCTTTTGACCAGAAAGTGAAGGAGAAGAAGGAGGCTATCACGTACCGGGAGGTGCTGGAGAGCGGGCCGCTGCGCGGGGCCAAGGAGCCGGGCTGCGTAGAGCCGGGCCGCGACGACCGCAGCAGCCCGGCAGTCCGGGCGGCCGGCGGAGGCGGCGGCGGAGGAGGAGGCGGAGGCGGAGGCGGAGGAGGCGGAGGAGGTGCAGGAGGAGGAGGAGCAGGCGGAGGAGCTGGAGGAGGGCGCTCTCCCGTCCGGGAGCTGGACATGGGCGCCGCGGAGAGAAGCAGGGAGCCGGGCAGCCCGCGGCTTACGGAGGGTAACGGCCCGACCCCGGCTGCGGTTCCCCTTCCCGCCTTCCAGACTCCTCTCGGGCGGGAGAGGACCCCGAGGCCCAGCGGGGAGGGGGGCGGTAGCGGAGAGGGCCCTGGACCCCAGCTTTGGAAGCTACAGTGATAGTGGAGGGGTGGGTGTCGGACGGTGAGCTCCGTCGTGGGTGGGGTCCTCGAGTGGGCGAGGGCGAGGGGGCTGCGCGCATCCTTTCCCGTTGCTCCCATTGCACCGAAGCGCATTTTTCGCTAGCGGGAGTATGGGGCCGCAGCCCAGCCAGCCCGTGGGCGCCGGGAGACTTGGAAGTTTGAGGGGCCAGGCTGCGAGAGGGGATGCTGGCAAGGGCACACCGGGAGACCAGTTGTGACTAGCTTGTAGTCTCGAGTTTGCGGGAGCCCCTTCCTAGGCCTGAGGGAGAGAGAGAGAGAGAGAAAAGGAGAAAGAGAAGATTCACCCTAGGCTGGCCCTGGCTGTGGAGCTGCCTCTGAGACCCCTGGAACTCTGCAAAGATCCCCAAACGTCCGAATCTTGGGGACCAAACTTCTCATTCTCTTTGAGCTGTTAATGTAGAACGAAGCCAATCAGGCTAAGGTCCAGGCCACGCTGATACTCCCCGTAGAAGCACTGAGGTTTCTATTTAGAGGCTTATTTTGAGATATTTTCTTTACTGCATAGAATCACCCAGTACTTAAGTTGTGTGTGTGTGTGTGTGTGTGTGTGTGTGTCCTTTGGAGTCAGCAAAATGTTAGAAAATGGCTTTATCTAAATGGTGAAGCGTCTTGTATCAATTCAAAGTTAAAAATTAATGTGGCACTTGGTACTGCAGTAACTAGTGTACTGGCATATTTTTCCAATTAAGAAAATATGTGGTATGCGTAGAATCACAAATTTAAGCAAGCAATTAAGTTGTTTATAACACGGTCTGTTCCTGTTTAGGCCATTAAATGGAAAGTTGGGGGCGAAATAGACGTTATATTAAGTCTATTAATCAACTTGAAATTTGGATTTATTTCTCTTTGAAGCCCCCAAACTCAGAGGGGTATCCACTTGTGGGGCTAACAAGAAATAGACAAAGCCTTCCATTCCTTTCACATAATTTGAAGAATATGTTTTCATGTTTAAATTTCACTACAGTATTAGACCAAACATAGTCCTATTAAATCGACCTCTAATGCTTGCTGTAACGGTATCTACTTTCTTCGCGGAGGAAGGACAAACGTCCATAAAACGAACTCTGAGAAGTAAAAATGCAGGTAGCAATTAAGATTGCGGTACAGAATGTCAGACTGGGTTGAGATTTAGTTGTTCATCTTCTCCCAGACCTGGCACCATGTCCTTTGAAAATTAGGAGTGATGAGATAAATATTAAGGGCCCAGGGATAGTCCTCCACCCCCAACTTCAAGGTTCACAGCTCAGGGGTCTGGACTTCCTAGCTCTCCAAGGCAAGGTTCACGTCTGAAGCCCCGATGCGCATAGTTCCAGGGATTGTTGACTTCCGAGCTCAGGGCAAGTATTAATTTCTCTGCAGATTGACACTTCCAGAAATGATTTTTTAACAACCATGTTGATCGGGACCCTGGGCTGGGAAGAATTGCTAACAGCCTGTACTATTTAAACTTAGCTTTGACAGTGAACACCCAAGTCTCCAAGTCAGACGCAGAGGATGAAGGTTAGGTGGACCTTATTGTGATATGGCTCTGATTCTGGCTTTGCTGATCATTGCCCTTTGGCACACAAGAACCTCATCCCTCATCCCTCGGGTGGCTCTGTTTGCTTACACTCGAAGAGCTCCTGTTTTGAAATGGAAGGAAAGGACAGCAAAGTAGCAACGGATGTGTGCAAAGCCACAGCAGAAAAATGCATATTTTATTAAACATCCGAGCTGCTGGATGCATGAAAAGGTTTAGAGCAACCAATAGAAACCGAGCATCAGGAATGTTCTTCTTGAACCTGTTGATCTCTGTGGGTTTAAGCCTTTAGGGTCGAGTCTGCCTTTCCACGAGGGAGGGAGAAGGAGAGGACAGATGTAGCGGTGGGTTTTGCTGACCATCAGAAGCTGGTTTGCAGCGTCTTCCCTTCTGGCCTGGCGTGGGCGGCGAGCCCTCCAGGCCGCCAACATGGCGTGGGCGCCTGTGCTCATTCGACCCGGGTCTAGCAGGGGAGGCAGAGACTGTCAGGCTACCAGTGGAGCCGTCAGTAGGGGTCTGGTCCAAGCCCTGGGGCAATGCAGGGTGCCTGTGAACGCGGCTTTCTGCGCAGCGCAGCACCCGGGTCTGGTTCTCCTGCTGCGACCCTCCAGCGGGCCCAGTTGTTTCTAAATTAGACCAGCAAGTTTGCGGGATGCAAAGGGCCAGCGGTAGGGAAGGTGGCCGAACTGCGGCCAGCTCGCTGAGGATGGCTGGTGTGCAAGGCCAGCAAGTGGGCCATGCCGCGCCCTTTAACAGAGACTGAGCTCTGCGAGAGGCCAGCGCCGCGCGTTTGATTTCCAGCGAGTGCGTGGGAGAGGAGAGAGTGAGTGACAGAGAGGGCCAGGGCTGCATTTGGTGTAAGCGGGAGAGGGGACCTGGATGGTGGGAGAGAGAGCCGAGACCACTGTGGTAAGGGAGGCAGGTGGCCACGTGCCACCTTGCCCCAGAAGGCTACGAAGGCAGGACTTAGAGGGTTTCTGGATCCCCTTCCTCTTTCCAGGTTGAGAGGCTGGACCGCCATGGGGTAGAATCTCTCTCTTCCCTCCAGACAAATCTGGTAACCCGCTTGCGTGTGTGTGTGTGTGTGTGTGTGTGTGTGCGCGCGCGCGCGTGTGCTGGTTTGTGCGCCGACGCACGTGTGGTCCGGTTCGTGCCCTCTCCAGTGAACCCGGAGTTGAAGGATCGCAAAGAGGATGCTAAAGGGATGGAGGACGAAGGCCAGACCAAAATCAAGCAGAGGCGAAGTCGAACCAATTTCACCCTGGAACAACTCAACGAGCTGGAGAGGCTTTTCGATGAGACCCACTATCCAGATGCTTTCATGCGAGAGGAACTGAGCCAGCGACTTGGACTGTCTGAGGCCCGAGTGCAGGTACTGTGAGGAGGCAGAGGTTGGGCCCTGGTAGCTGAGAACTGATGCATCTAGGGTTGGAGGCAGCTTAGGGGATACACAGGGAGACTGCTGCCGAGAAAGTGTCTGCAGTGAAAAGAGGAAGGGAGGGTTATCTTTGCTACAGGTCTGATTTTCTGAAGTAGATGTTGGTCCTGTAGCCCCTTTCACCCCTCAGCCAACATATGTTCCCAGAAGAAGAAAGCTGTGCTGGGCTTGCTCCCAGAGTTTCTATAAACCACACCCCCCCTCGCCTCACGCTGTCTTTAATGTGGTTTAATCCTAATGGGCCTAGTTTTATAAGCTTAAAAAAAATCCCACAGAAAACGTTTTATCTCTGGAAGCCTTAAAAGTTACAAGGAGTATTTTGCTCGCCGGAGTTGGGTTTCCTAGAGAGGGTCTGCTCCTAGGTCTAGATTTGCCAAACGGATATGCCAATTAGGTTTATAGATGTACAGACTATAAAGAAAATTAGCATCTGTTAAGTGCGGAAATTTACAGTGCACTGTTAGCGGATCGATCTCAAACCGAGTGTGAAACAGCTGAGAAAGAATGCATTTGGCCACTCTTTGTTCGTTTGCTTAACCAAGGCCACAAACGAGAACCCATGAAAATTCGATTTTAAGACAATGCACATATCTATTGCACTATTGGCATTTTCTAAATCGGACCTCCAGAAATTGCCATATCCCAGGAAGGCAGAACTGTGGCAGGTTTTTTTCATTTTTGGTTGTTGAGGTGAATGTAAAAGCAAAAGTAGGTTTGGGGGCATCTAAAGGGAGAATTATGACACATACCCTTCCTTCCTGCTTTATGAGGAACAAATTTAAACGTTTCAGATTGTATTTCCGCTCAAATAATAAAATAGGAGAAAATGATGGTCATTATTTGTTTGAACACATGGAGCAGTTTTAGGCTGGAACATCTGCAGCTGTTCCAAAGTATCGCTGTAACAGATACTCCCTGGGTCTCTGGGCGGAGAGACCACCATCTGTAAAGAACTATGTGCAATTCTTTTGGGGCTTCCTTGCATCTTGTAATAGGATCAGGAAGAAAAAAAAAAAGCACTAACGTGGACAGAGAAAAAAATAATAATAGGCTGCCTTGGTCATCACAGCGTCAACCCCAGAGCCTTCCCATTCAAGCCTGTTCTGCTTTGCTTTGCTGAGCTCTCTAGAGGCTCTGGAACCCCTTAAAACCATGATAATTATTGAAGCTATGAGTAATAGTATCTCCATTCCAACTCTTCTAGGAAAAAAAAAAAAAGAGTCAAGAAGCCTCAGGCCATGTGAGTTACACAAAGGATGCCACCCTGGCATGAAATCCACCCTTCTATTATACTCCATAGCGGGACAATTTTTGAAGATTTACACTGACATGCACTTGATTTCAAAAACATAGTAGAAAAAGCTCTGAAGCAATATTTTCCTTTCACGGGTTTTTAAAACACTAATTTGTGAGTCAATCAATATGCTGTGTTATTGGAAATGGGGTAGGTATAAAAAAGCAAACCTTATTTGAATTTTTAAAAATCTGTCTTGCTGCCTGGAAAAGTTGGCAAGTTATTTAAGATTATATCCAGTATCCAGGGGTTACGTGACTCATTCCCCACCCCCCTTTTTTTGTGTGGCATTTTTTTTTTCCCTCTCCTCAGAAGTGAACTTGATCACTGCTCTTTATTTTTTTTTTCCCATACTTTCATTTAAGGTATAGGAGCTATTTTCTGTACTCTTCCCTACTGTCCTAACTGCGGGCAGTGGCTTTTTCTATAGAAGCAAATTAGATTATCATGATAATGGTACAATTATTCTGCTACTGTGTTATACTCTGCTGCACAGAGGAACAGAGAAATTCGAAACTTCTTTGTAGTAAGGCTTTTAGGACACTAATTACCTCTCCCTCACACAAGCCCCCCCCCCAAAAAAAAACTAGAGTCATTATTTGCTTTAGTGCTTGGTTTTCTTCTTTTTTTCCAAGATGAAGCTAATTAATATTACAGAGTATTACTGGTCCATTCTTCTTAGGTCTTAACTAGGCAAACATTTAAACCCATTATCACATTGGTGTCAGATACCAGGGAATGTTCTAGGCCCCTGGGACTCTATAGTGTGGAAAGATGAAACCAGGACTAATAGTAATTTATCAAGGAAAAATTTATCTTACATAGAGTCTAAGAAATCATCCTATTTTTGTACTTCATTTACATTTTTAATTTTGGAAATTGAGGCTTTTTCATATAATGCAACACGTGCTTGTTACATCCTAAGACTTGCCTAAAGCAGCACTTTTTTTCCATTTGTGCTACTGTAATTTAAGATGTTTTAAGTCATAACATAGATGTTTTATGTATATTTTTTCTGTTTTAACTTGTAGGTTTGGTTTCAAAATCGAAGAGCTAAGTGTAGAAAACAGGAGAATCAACTTCATAAAGGTGTGCTTCTCATACCTCTAAAAAGTGCATTTTATTCTAAGTAAAAAAGAAAAGTGTGTGTGGGGGGGTGTTGGTAACAAAGACAAAAAAACAAAACAAAGCCTTAAAAGATGAAGATGGTCCTTGATTTAAAAAACTTCTGAAGATGGTTAATGAAAATCCTAATATTTAGAAGAAAATTACATTATTTGAATTGCAGCACCAATTTAGAAAAATAACAGTTCAGTTGCAATGGAATCTGTTAAATGTTGGTATCACTTGAAACCTTGGAAAACACCAGAAATGTTTACCTTATTGTGTCTTGTCCCCTGTTTTTATAGGTGTCCTCATAGGGGCTGCTAGCCAGTTTGAAGCCTGCAGAGTTGCACCCTATGTCAACGTAGGCGCCCTAAGGATGCCATTTCAGCAGGCAAGTACAGCCTAGCTTCCAGCAGTTTTTAAATGTAAAAAGGCCTGGATGTTTGTTTGGACTGTTGAGCAGCCCCTGTCTCTGAGCCCCAATGTCCATGTAGTTGAAGAATCGATTTCAAGATGATATAGTGGACCTACTCCCCTTTAAAAACCTATACAGTGTCATGGTCTTGAATACTTAGTCCTTTCTGTTTTCATAGGAGCCCCCAAGGAGCCTGAAGGCAGTAACTGGTCCTTTAAAAAATGCATTTACAATCACACTTGGGGAGAGGAAGGAAAGGCCTTTGATTAGGATTTTGTCAAATCAAATACAGAAGCTAGTCCTAAGGTGTTTCTAAGGCAATCCTCTAAATATTCTTTCTAGGTATTTTCTACCTCTTAGTCACATTAAATGTCTCTGGAAGAAGAAAAATAAATACAAGCACTCCCAACTCAGGCTTGTTTTCAAAAAACTGTCCCTTCATCTCTGATAGAGAGGGAAGTCTTGGTCTTCCCAAGACTGCCTGCCCTATCTCTCCAATCCTTTCTTAGCCCTAAAGAAACCTTTAAGGCTACATTTTAAAAGGACAGCCTGCAGCAATGATTTAATCCTGGGAAATCCCAATGTTCTGAACTGGCTGCTTTCTAAGCCTGGGGGCAAAATCCTTTTCCTGCTAGTGCCTGACCTTCCCTTCTTCTGCCCAGACCGAAAGGCTGAAATGTCACGAATTAGCTCTCAGTCACTGGCACCTTGGACTGGGGGGACACCTGGTGATGTCCATCTATTGAGACTTAAGAGTTTGGAAGAGTTGAGTTTATGTGGCATTACAGGATTCTGGCCTCTCAATGCAGGACTTTTGAAATGGGAGGAAATGCATTGGAGAAAGAGGGAGGGCAGAGCTTAAAAAGAAAACTGGCCCTACTCAGAAACTGGCCCTACTCAGAAGGTGGAAATCTTCAGGCCAGCAGAATTGGCCACACTTAGGAAGCTGTTAAGATATTTAGAATCTCAGGTCCCAACCTAGATCTGCTGACTCAGAGTCTACATTTTTACAGGATCCCCAGATAATTCTTATGGCAGGAAAAGTTAGAGACTGAACACGCTATAAGTTCCTAAGTGACAAGAAAAAGTTTTTGTAGTTTGTTTTAGGAGTGTGCCAAGAGGTGTGTGGCAGACCCAGGATAGGAGGTTAACAGTCCTTATCCCCTGTCTCTCTGACAACGATGTTATGTTGAGGTTCTTGGTGTTTTTAAGACTATAGCTAGGTCACCCCCTCATCCACCTAGCTCCTCAGGGGGCCACCACATTCCTGTAGACAGGGGCGTGTAAGGGAATAAGCCCAAGGTGTGAGTTGTTAAAGACCTGGGAGTGGGGGTGGGGCACTACAGTATCCCTGTGGTGCCCTAGATTTAGCAACAGGCCAAGAAAGTCATTCTCCAAATAAGATGTTCCTTCCCTGTCCCGCACCCCAACTCTCCCATAGCCAAGGTGGACGCCGTTAATGCTCTGTTTCTATTCTGTTGTCACCCTAGGATAGTCATTGCAACGTGACGCCCTTGTCCTTTCAGGTTCAGGCGCAGCTGCAGCTGGACAGCGCCGTGGCGCACGCGCACCACCACCTGCATCCGCACCTGGCCGCGCACGCGCCTTACATGATGTTCCCGGCGCCGCCCTTCGGACTGCCGCTTGCCACGCTGGCCGCCGACTCGGCCTCCGCCGCCTCGGTTGTGGCTGCTGCCGCCGCCGCCAAGACCACCAGCAAGAACTCCAGCATCGCGGATCTCAGACTGAAAGCCAAAAAGCACGCGGCCGCCCTGGGTCTGTGACGCCAGCACCAGCGCCTGGGTCGATGCAGCCTCCCGAGCCGCGCTACCCCGCACGCCCTCCGCGTCCCGCAGCTTCTCGGGTACCCGCTTCGGACCTCCAGGCCCGCTCTCTTTCGCCCCGCTCACCGCCCCCTATTTCTCTCTGCATTCTGGACTCACAGGGCCCTACTTCAGGCGGGACCCAGGATCCCACGAGGGCCATCAGCCCATCTGCCCTTGGGCTTAGAATTCGGCTTTTTAGGGTCTGGTTTGGAGAAGTCTGGGTAGAGACTGGACAAAGGAGATCGGGAACAGTGAAATGTGGAGTGCGGCAAAGCTGCGACCTAGAAATAAAATCTTGCTAACAAAGTATGGGCAAAAACAAAAAGAATAGAAAACAAACTAGAGAGAAAAGGAGAAAGGGAACTTGTTTCTTGTTGCTATTTGGCTGGAATCAGAAAGAACGACGGAGCAAAACAATTTTAAAAATTAAAGTATTTTATACGCGTAAAAATATGGAAAAATAACCTGAACGAATCTTGAGAGATTGGGGGGGGTTACCAATTAAAATGTATGTTTTTTTTAATGGGCTAAGAAAGCAAAACAGAAGGAAGAGGTATACTTATTTAAAGAATTAAGATGAAAAAAAGTGCGCAGCTGGGAAGTTCACAGGTTTTGAAACTGACCTTTTTCTGCGAAGTTCACTTTAATACGAGAAATTTGATAAGAGAGGCGGGCCTCCTTTTACGTTGAATCAGATGCTTTGAGTTTAAAAACACCATGTATGGAAGAGCAAGAAGAGGGAAGACAGTATGAGGAGGAGGGAAAAACGATGTTAATACAAAAAAAAAAAAAGCCACAGACAATGATTCTTCTCAGAAATTATAACGGCAGAGCTGTCCAGACTGTTGACAGTAAATTCTGGTTTGCATGTTACTTGTATTCCATTGATGGTGTCCCCCAACTCATGTGTACCCAACTTTCATCCTTAGTATGAAAAGCGTCACGAAATTATATGTACCCACACATGTTTTTGCCCCGCCTTTGATGCTGGGGAGTAAAAAAAAACAGTCGGAAAGGGGGAAAAAAATACACAGATTCTTCCAAGAAGATAGAGGCGAGCAGAAAATGTGGGGAGAGAAAAAAAGAAGACCAAACGAATTCCTGAAGGTACACTGCCCTGCATAGTAGACGCTTAATCAGTTCGCTCCAATCCCCTTTCCTGAGCTCCCTCTTGCTGGTTTCCTGAAGCCCTGTTTGAGGACAATGCTTTATTTGCCCCTCTCTATCCCGTCAAATTCACCTTAAATGACACCCAGCTAGGTACAGGCACTTGGTTTGTGTAAAATATGTTGATAAACACGAACAAAGTTTATTTTGGCTATAATGTGTGAACTGATGGTTGACTTCCAACATTTGCATTTATCTCACAAAGGTGTATCTATTCAAGTACTCTTTTTGTTGTTTATTTCAATTCATGTAGCTATTTAAACGAGGACACCTTGGACTAAGCAACCTGTATGCCAATTCTTTAGAAAGCCTCCTTAGTTTTGTTTTTTCTTTTAATTTACAAGAAAGAGGAAAAGCTCTTCTTACTGAACTTTGGTCTGCAGTTGAGCTTTGTTACTATTTGTTCTCCATGAAAACAAAATTATTTATATTTGCCATATTTTTTCTAGTATATTAAGTTATTTTAAACAAAAGAAGATGCTGTTATCTCATGACGTGTTGTCAGTACAAAATGTTTCAGCTCTACTTCTGTTAAACGTTTTAAATAAGTGCCAAGTTATTAATCGAAGACACTTTGCGATCAGTTGAATGAAAATAGTATTGTTTCATTTGATGAGGTTCGAGTCATCTTTGTTCCTGTTAATATTAAAATATCCGGGATAGTCTTTCCTTTCTCCTTTTTGATGATTGTGTATCCATCTCTCCAATACACCAACTTGGAAAAGTGTTTGCCTCTGCTCCTAAGTGGGGCAGTCAGGGCACTGTGAGAAGGGGGACTCAGTGGATCTCAAGCTGAGCGCAACTCCTCCTATCTTGTGTCAAAAGTACCTAGCATTGACCCCAGGTTATGCTAAGGCAATAAAAAGAACAAACCGGAGCAGAACAGTCTCCTGCTCAGGAGGATTTCTCTTTCATTTTGCTATACTTTCACTCTTGAAGTTTATTTTGGGGGAGCAAGAGAGATCACGCAACCACCCCCTCCCTTGGCTTGTCATGTATGGCATTATTAACAATCGGCCCCTGGTCGAAGACCCTCCTGGAGCTGCTGGTTTGGAAGTAGACTCCTGCTAGGGACACTGTGGATGTCGAAGCCCCCTACTTCTTAGCCCTGTTTGGCACTTTGGCCAGCGCAGCTTCTTCAGGGATTCAGTTTCCATAAGGCAATGCTTAGAAAAGCTCGATTTTGGGAGTTACCAGATTCCCTTTTCCAAGCTCTTGGTCCCAGTGAACTGGAAGACAGCCCCCCACTCCCACCCCCTTATTTGAGAGGGTGAGGAAAGACTTGAGCCCCAGACCTAGCCAGGCCTGAGTTCCCTTCCTGCCCGGGCTTCTGGAAGCCGGTACCTTCTCCGAAGGTGTCCACAGCATTCCCTGGTGTCCACCCAGGCCGGCAGGGAGAAAGTGACCTCTATGGAGCCCAAGTCTCCAGCATCGTTCTGCTTTCCCTGGACCTCAGCTCACCCTCGAGGCTGGTCCTCAGCCTTGACAAGGGCGAGACGTTGGTCAGTCTCTCAGCTTTCAGAGGCCACCGAAAGTCCTCGGCACTCAGACCTGAGGCTTTCCTGGTTGCTGAAAGTTGCAGTTTGCCACCAAGTCTCTGGCCCTGCTCGGTGGTGAGCTCCTGGGCGCCTGAGTGACTTCCAACCCTCAGACTCCAAGTGCCAATCCTAACCCAACCCTGAGGTTCTACCACCTCTTCCGACCCCTGCGGGAGCATTGAGATCAAGCGAGGAGAACGTGGGGCTGGGAAGACGGCGCTTGGTCCAGGCCCAGTAGGGTCCCGCAGCGCATCCTGGGTAAGCCCCAGGGCTGCAGGCGCTGGAGCTGGGTACCAGCATGCTCGCTTTGCCCTGCTACTATGAGTGCTGAGGGCCGGAGTGGAGGAAGCGACTAGGTCTCAAGAGGATGGTCAAAGGTCCCCGGGCAGGTGGGCGGGCAGGTGGGCTGGCGGGCGGGCGGCCGGATCAAGGCACAGCTTCCCAACCAGCTACCCTGAGACACGCCGAGGGCCCGGACCACTTTCCCTGGCCTTCTTGGTACTCTGCGTTCCCCTCTGGTCCTTTGGGTCCAGGTTTCTAGGACACTCACTCAGGTCCCAGTGTCCCAGATCCTCAAAGCCAAAACTATGGGGCAGGCATCTGTAGGAACCACATCAAAACCCCAGATTCTCAGAGCTATCCTGGAAAGGGGTTTCGAGGAAATGTCCATGGACCAATATACGTTATTTTTACCCAAATTCGCTAATTACAAGCAATTATCAGTAAAGTCGAACCCCCCCACCCCCCCGAAACAAATCTTTCATGGCCTGCAAACTCTTAGTTACAAAATCCATGCTTGGGGAAAAGACTGAGATAAGGAGATTATTCAAGATGGAATTGCTGTAAGGACCCTGGAAATATGAAGGAGTCCCAGGAAATATGAAGGCCTCTGCTTGGAGCTGACTGATATTCATCTATTTTTGACCCCCCCCCCGAGATTTATAGCATTTTAGATCCTCAGATGGTAATACTTTAGCATAATGTAGTGCTCAAATTTCGGAACTATTTTGATTTCTGAAAAATGCTTTTTTGACTTCAACAACATGGGATCCTGTTTTTTTCTTCACAAATCAGTTTACATCATAAATTGCAAACATTTGCAATAAGATCTCAAGACTGTTTATTTTACATAACCTCAAGCACTTGGCTATGTTAAACACCAGTACAGAAAGTCTGTGAAATCAGTTTAATGTGTGTCAGGGAATTAAAGGATCACTCCTTTTCATCACGTAAACAAAGTATTTAAGACTGTTTTGAGTGTCAGTCTCTTAATTTTTAAAAATCTTACAATTGACTATTAATTTTAGAGACATTCTGTGCAAAAATAATTAGTAAAGTTATGTCTTGCTTTAATTAAATGTTTCTGAGCAGAAGAAAATGGTAATCTATGTCAGGAAGTGGGTGATTGTTTTAAACATTATATTATTTTAGTTCAAACATAAATAAGTCTGCAAATTCCATTGGGGAGAAAAAGCCTGAAATAGTTTCTTAATGTGCCATTAGAACAGTTAGTCAAAATGCATTAAAGCAACATCACAAACCCGGAAATAGTAAACATGTCATTCTAATGAGTGTGTTAACTTATGGATAATTCATTCAAGGTAGTTTTTACATTTCACATGGAATGTCTTATTATGGCCTGCCTGACTACTGTGATGCTTGTTTTTCAAAATCTAATTTATATAGGCTTGGAATATACATAATTCATAACTCCTGTTAATATATGTATACACACTATGAATTTTAAGTCTTTACAATATGTTTGGATGTTTACTAGCATGTTTTCGAGACAATTGAAATAAAAGCATACAAACATAAAATGTGTTAAAACACTGTATGTGCTTTCCCTATGCCTGAAGGAAAACTAGTTGAAAATAAAAAAAAGGGGGGATTAGATAATTTTCAAGCTCAGGTATAGAATGAACACCTAAATATATCAGACGGGGGACATTCTTGTGTAAGAAAGATGAAAATCCTCAAGAAAGACTTACAGATGTTAGTGTCTAACACTTCCAATGCCCAGGCAATCCATTTATGTCCCTAATTCATGAAACAAAATGAAAAAAAAATCCTCAAGTCTTGGAGCATTTTGTTTGGGGTATTTTATGTGTCAGTCAAGGTAACCACTGCATATGCCTTCAGTACAGGAAAATTTAGTATAGTACTTACATGGAGTTCTCCTGGCATGAGGAAAGGTTTTAAAATATAATCAAATAAATCATATAGCAAAGAGTAAGCACTCCTTTCTCTTCTTTCCTTTCTTTTTTTTTTTCTGGTTGAACAAACTGCTCACATGTCCTGAGCAAGGATCTTTCTACAATCCTGTTCAAGCAGAATAGATTGTGGTTAAGAACATACACCCTGGAGCCTCACTTCCAGGATTCAAACCTGCTATTGACCAACCCTATGATTTGGGTGAGTTTATCTTTCAGTTCCTTAGTTTCCTTAACAGTAAATGAAGACACAAATAGTGTCTGTCTCATCAAGTTATTAGGATGATTAAATGAGTTAGAAAGCCCTTAGAACAGAGCTTTGCAATGTATATACTAAGTACTTAATAATAATTCTTTTTATAAAGAGGCCGATAAGCATTGATCTTTGTAATGCAAAGCTTAGAAGAAAATAAAGCAGTGCAAGATTAGCGAGTGAAGACTTTCCTTTTGTGGGCTAGAAGATGTTGCCTACCATTTTGTGATTTCAGCTAATCGTTTAGCCTCCAGGAGCCTTATCTGGAAGATGTGGCAACATGTCACAATGTAGTTAGGCGACTCATCTACAAGAGCAATTTATAGATTGTACATCATTATACATATGACAAATAATATTATTCCTCTGCCACACACAACTAATAAAGAGAGATATTAGGCATGGCACTTGCCCTCAAGAGGCTTACTATCTGGAGAGACAGTTCATCAATACCTAAGGCACTACCAGGAAGCATGTGCTAAATGCACATGCTTACAGGTATCCAGACACATTCTGAACATTGGAATGGCCATACAACACATATGGGGCTTGTTGCCCCCTTTCTGCAAACTGAACCTTCCTTAGGAATGAGTAACCTTATAAAGGAATGGTGAAGGGACACCCAGAGGTTAAGAAGCACACTTTGTT